ATTTAGCGGGGAAATTTTTTCCGCTAGATTTAGCGGGGAAATTTTTCCGCTAGGTTTAGCGGGGAAATTTACCCATAATGCACCGCGCGGTTACGCCGACGGCGACGGCGACGCCGACGCCGACGGCGACGTTGCTCAAGCCGGAAACAGGCGCCTAAGAGCTGCGCTCTAAAAAGTCTCGAAAAGGAATTTTAAAACGAATTAAATGATTAGCAAAGAGCACCTGGTGGATGTCGCTAACGCCTCGTTTGTAATGCTCGTCTAGGAACCTTGACAGCTAGTGACGGAGGTTGTCTCGTCTCCGCCCACGACGAGAGAAGGGGGAAAGGAGGAACTCCCCTTTTCCCGAGAATCCCTTTTGTGTGTCGCAGAAGTCGCTATTGTCCCCCTAGAAGATTATAGAAGATTAACCCGTCACTCAAAATTCGTACAAAAGCAGCCGCTTCGGTGGCTGGAACGACTAGGCCATCCTCTCGACATCAGCCTCGCCGTAGCTTTGCTCGCATTGAGACGACCTACGTCACGATTGCGTTGGATGTCACGTGCTCTAAGCTGGGCCTTCTCCGAGCGCTTGCCAGAGTGGGCCGTTTATAACGAAAAATACAGCCACCAGGATCAAAATACAAACGTGCGATTGTCATTTACGGATATTGTGGATCATATTCAACCTATTTTTGAACACGACGGGAATATTTCAAATTTCGTTGAAGTATCCCTTTAAGGGCCCGTTCCCGGCTTGAGCGGCGTCGCCGTCGCCGTCGGCGTCGGCGTAACCAAGGTCATCCCAAGGTCACGTGACCCCCAAGGTCATCCCAAGGTCACGTGACCCCAAGGTCACCCCAAGGTCACGTGACCCCAAGGTCACGTGACACCCAAGGTCACGTGACTCCCCAAGGTCACCCCAAGGTCACGTGACCTCAGGTCACGTGACACCCTGGGTCACGTGACCGCCAAGGTCACGTGACACCCAAAGTCACGTGGCTCCCCAAGTCACGTGACCCCCGGGGTCACGTGATCCCGATGACGTCATCAGTGACGTCACTGATGACGTCACCGGCATCCGCATCGTCAGCGTCATCACTGATGACATCATCAGTGACCTCACTGCTGACGTCACCGGCATCCGCATCGTCATCGACATCACCACTGATGACGTCACCGGCATCCGCATCGTCATTGTCATCATCACTGATGACGTCATCAGTGACGTCACTGATGACGTCACCGGCATCCTCATCGTCATCGCCATCATCGCTGATGACGTCACCGGCATCCGCATCGTCATTGTCATCATCACTGGTGACGTCATCAGTGACGTCACTGATGACGTCATCGGTATCCGCATCGTCATCGTTACTGATGACGTCATCGGCACCGGCATCGTCACGCGACCCTCCTAGGTCACGTGACCCCCACCCAAGGTCACTTGACCCCCCCCCCAGTACTCTTCCCTCCTCCTCCTCAAGAGCTGCGCTCTAATTCGGCGTTACAGGGAGTTGTAAACAGCTTTCACTTTTTTTTTAGTCGAGATACAAAATAAAAGTGAAAGCCGTTTACAACTCCCTGTAACGCCGAATTAGAGCACAGCTCTTGAGGAGGAGGAGGGAAGGGTACTGGGGGGGGTCAAGTGACCTTGGGTGGGGGTCACGTGACGATGCCGATGCCGATGACGTCATCAGTAACGATGACGATGCGGATACCGATGACGTCATCAGTGACGTCACTGATGACGTCATCAGTGATGATGACAATGACGATACGGATGCCGGTGACGTCATAAATGATGATGACAATGACGATGCGGATGTCGGTGACGTCATCAGTGACGTCACTGATGACGTCATCAGCGATGATGACGATGACGATGCGGATGCCGGTGACATTATCAGTGATGATGACGATGACGATGCAGATGCTGGTGACGTCATCAGTGGTGCCACTGATGACGTCATCAGTGATGATTACAATGACGATGCGGATGCCGGTGACGTCATCAGTGATGATGACGATGACGAGGCGGATGCCGGTGACGTCATCAGTGACGTCAATGATGACGTCATCAGTGATGATGACGCTGACGATGCGGATGCCGGTGACGTCATCAGTGACGTCACTGATGACGTCATCGGGGGTCACGTGACCCCGGGGGTCACCTGACTTGGGGGTCACGTGACCCTGGGTGTCACGTGACCCGAGTCACGTGACCTTGGGGTGACCTTGGGATGACCTTGGGGGTCAAGTGACGTTGGGATGACCTTGGTTACGCCGACGGCGACGGCGACGCCGCTCATGCCGGGAACGGGCCCCTAAGAGCTGCGCTCCAATTTTAGAGGGCAGCTCTTAGGGGCCCGTTCCCGGCCTGAGCGGCATCGCCGTCGCCGCCGGCGTCGGCGTCGCCGTCGGCGTTTTCGTCGCCGTCGGTCATCCCAAGGTCACTTGACCCCCAAGGTCACTTGACCCCCAAGGTCACGTGACCCCCAGGTCACCCCAAGGTCACCCCTCCCCAAGGGTCACGTGACCCCAAGGTCACGTGACACCCAAGGTCACGTGACCCCTCCCCCAGTTTCACATGACACCCAAAGTCACGTGGCTCCCCAAGTCACGTGACCCCCGGCGTCACGTGACCCCCGATGACGTCATCAGTGACGTCACTGATGACGTCACCGGCATCCGCATCGTCAGCGTCATCATTACTGATGACGTCATCAGTGACGTCACTGATGACGTCATCGATATCCGCATCGTCATCGTTACTGATGACGTCATCGGCATCGTCATCGTCACGTCACCCCCCTAGGTCATGTGACCCCCACCCAAGGTCACCTGACACCCCCAGTACCCTTCCCTCCTCCTCCCCAAGAGCTGCGCTCTAATTCGGCGTTACAGGGAGTTGTAAACGGCTTTCACTTTTTTTTAATTGAGATACAAAATGAAAGTGTCGCGAACCGTTTTAATTATGTATGGAAGTAGTTTTAGAGCGCAGCTCTTAGGGGCCCGTTCCCGGCTTGAGCGGCGTCGCCGTCGGCGTCGCCGTCGGCGTCGCCGTCGGCGTAACCAAGGTCACCCCAAGGTCACGCGACCCCCAAGGTCACCGCAAGGTCACGTGACCCCCAAGGTGTGACCCCCAGTTGTCACGTGACCGTCCCAGGGTCGCGTGACCCCCCTGAAGTCACGTGACACCCCTCCCCCAGAGGTCACGTGACCACCCCCGGGGTCACGTGACCCCCCGCCGATGTCACGTGACCTCCCCGATGACGTCATCGTCACTGATGACGTCACCGGCATCCGCATCGTCATCGTCATCATCACTGTTGACGTCACCAGTGACGTCACTGATGACGTCACCGGCATCCGCATCGTCATCGTCATCATCACCGATGACGTCATCAGTGACGTCACTGATTACCTCACCGGCATCCGCATCGTCATCGTCATCATCGTTGATGACGTCATCAGGGACGTCACTGATGACGTCACCGGCATCTGCATCGTCATCATCACTGATGACGTCATCAGTGACGTCACTGATTACCTCACTGGCATCTGCATCGTCATCGTCATCGTCGCTGACGACGTCATCACTGACGTCACTGATGACGTCACCGGCATCCGCATCGTCGTCGTCATCATCACGAATGACGTCATCAGTGACATCACTGATGACGTCACCGGCATCCGCATCGTCATCGTCATCGTCGTTGATGACGTCATCGGAGTCCGCATCGTCATCGTCACTGATGATGTCATCATTGACGTCACTGATGACATCATCGGCATCCCCCCAGGTCACTTCACCCCAGTACCCTTCCCTCCTCCTCCTCCTCAAGAGCTGCGCTCTAATTCGGTGTTACAGGGAGTTGTAAACGGTTTTCACTTTTTTGTTGTGTATTTTAGATCAGAAAAGCAACAAATGCAGTGTATAAAGTACGGAAACAAGAAAAGACCCGTCGACAAACCCGCCACCAAGTGGCGGAAAAAACGGCGCATAGTAGAAAGGGCTAGTGGCACGAGGCCTCGACGAACGGCGAGCGTGGAAAGGTCCCGGATGTACGCGGTGGCGCTGCGGTCGTATACCGGCTCGAGGATCCGACCGGTTCCGAGCGTTCCGAAGGCTTTCGGCGCGGGCTTGGCTTGCGATTTGGACATTTGGCGGTATGGCAGCGCGAAGTGGCTCCCGTTCTGAGCAGATCTTTACCCTGTATTTGCTGTCGTTTGTGGCCCTTGAAGTGTTATGCCGAATTAGTCGTTAATCGCGCAGCAAATGCAATGCGAGCCGCCCTGGTCGCCCGCTTCATGGAGCCTATCCAACACCTGCTTAAGTGGCGCCATCTCGAGCCGTCGACACGGAGTGCGGCAGCCGTGAGCGCTCGATAAGCTCACTACTCCTCCTCTAGCTCACGGACACTCAAGCCAGGGCCTACGACGTCATGAAGGAGGTTATTTTTTGCTTGTTTTTGTAATTCTAATTTGCCTATAACTTTTAAAATAAAGCGAAATTTGAGAAAAATTTTTTTAAGTTACTACGTTCAGTGCGCTCAGGTTCGGTGCAAATTAAAAGCCAGTCAAAACGTTGTTGCAGTGCCCCTTTAAGAGTAAACTTCTGTGCCTCTGGCGCTGCCTAATAGTTTTATTGTACGAGTTTGAACTAAAACAAAGGAATAGTTTAGTATCATGGGTAGTTTTAATTTTATATACAATCTGAGGTGGATCAATTAATCTAATTATCTAAAAAAATATTTTCTGTCTTTAACCTGTATTTCATATATAAATGTTGTTATCGAAACTATTAGAGTGGAGGCATCTTCGTTCACTGCCTTTATAGGTAGAATGTAGTGACTGGATGCACCAAAACGAAACAAAATCTAAATAATCGTCGATATCTAGTTTGCGCTAACAGTGTCGTACAGTGTACGTTCTTCGTCTGGAGTTTATTGATGCCGATGCACTGTATATTCATCACTGCTTCTTTTTCTTTCCTTGTTGTTTTTTATGTGGCGCAGGACATGCAAGCGGTCCTGGAAAGCTGGGCGTCCAGATACGGAGATATTTTCGGGTAAGCTGACAGCTCGCGACGCACTACCGCAACTGTTCGCATCCTTCGAGGACGGTGGTATCCCGCGTTTATGTACAATGCTTCTTGGAGAATCCACATCAGGACGAATATTCTCGCTTACGAAACTTTCACTCCGAAAAACAAAAATGATATAGGATTGAAAACACTTGCACTGCTGCCTTCTTATCGGCTGGGATGCGTGTTCCGCCAATGAGAACACGAGTCTTTACTTGAAGCCACGCTGGTCACTCGTAGGCAGTGCGAGACAAAATACTTGATACAAGTATTTAAGTTAAGTTACAAAATGCCTGCTTAATGAAGTATTTAAAATACTACTCAAGTTACTTTCACTGTAAACTATCTTGAGTAGAGTACAAATACTTAGAAATGTAATTCAATTACTTTTGAAGATACCTCCGCATTGCGTAATTTGTATCGACGTCAATGACAACGACAATTATACAGCTGCGCAAATCTGGGTTACAGAATGGTTTATTAGCACGCAACAACACAAAACGGAAAAAAAAAGTATCGTAGGGGCTATTTTATGCAGTCCAACTATAAAGAGCAGGATATTGTCACGAATGACAAATGATGAGGCGTCGAATAACTGAAGAAACTTAACGTTTAATGGGGCGAACTTGGGCCCAAAACAAAATAGACAAAGGCTAACGTCGCAGGCGTCGATGTCGGCGAAACAGCGGGATCGAGCGATGGGACGAGACTGACTCCGGACCGCCACTCGGAGCATCTTTCGTGCCCGCGGGGGTTTCTGGAAAATTATGCGTAGAAAGTTCGGTGCGTAGAACATTCGTAACTCGATCAGACGACAAGGTTCTCGAACTTACGAAAATTTTAAGTGTAAAAAATAAATATAATAGGAGTCCGCTCCCTGGTATCAAACCCGGAACCTTCGCGCGAAAGCCATGCGCGCCAACCATTTGGTTACACGCTCGCTCGGCAATGCGCGTGGCAGTATCACTGATACATGTTACAAAACATTTTTGGGACAACAAGACAGAGGTCGCTTTAGCTATTGGGGAGGAAATCAGACCGTAACGCCCCAAGCTGTTAACTTTAAAACTGCATGGATGGAGACAACAAATACAATGACTCAGCGTTCAGCTCACTTAACCGAACGCGTCGTCAGCGTTCGGCTGGGATTCGTGTTCTCCGGTGAGGGGGAAGAGGGGCTCTTTTGTTTCCACTCCGGCCTGTATGAATAAGGTGCCCAGCTCAGCATAAACGCCAAAGTGGGTCAAGCTCGCATCCTCTGAGGGCTGCTTTCGGGAGAGATCCGGCACTTAACGTCACTTCGCAAATTGTTAGTATTTTTACATCACACTGTGCCCCGCGCTCTATTAAAAAAGATAACATGAACACCCCAACAAGGCCTGTGGGTATGCGGACCGGCCTTGTGTTGGGTAAACACCGAGGCGTAGGGGCAACAAATCGCTGAATATCACGTCTAGCGGCGCACCTCAGACGCATCGTTTAACTACAATAATATTTCCTATAGGGGAAGTTCACTATAAACGAACTTGGGATACGGATATGAATTACTAGATAACAAAGAAAACCCACATAATAGACAGTGCAGTGGCCGCACCTTCTTCAATTACGTTGCGTTCAGAAAGGCACTCAACGTCGGGGGACACTTAGTTGACATTTTGAGGTTTTCCAGCTAGTTCGTTTCCTGTCCTGTTCTCTGCTTATCAATGTTCGCTTACAGACAGTGTTCGCGAGAGCAATAGGTGACGGACTGACAGCAAAAAGAAAACAAAAAAGACAACATCGACGTTTTGTCATAGCGGGGTCAAATATACCAAAAGCAAACAAAAATGTCTTTTTTTGTGTGTCCACTTCTTATTTTCTTCTATTTGTTATTTTCTTGACACCCAAGTCTGCATTTTTGTCGTAGGTCTTTTCCCGGTCTTCATTGCGCCTCAGGGTGGCAATCTTTACTTCCGTGAAAGCACCCCTTTTGTTGGAGAATGTTTTGGAAGGAAACTCCAGGAAACAAAAAGCGCCTTCGGGAAGGTGAGGGGAAAACCTTCATTGTACGAACTTTGGGCTGAATCATGAGTGAAAATCGGAAAAAAGTGATGTTTTCACGGGCTCAGTCAAAGTCGCCGTAGCTAATAAGAGCTAGCAAGAGGATTTGGTTGCTCGAAAGAATGTTCACGTTTGCTCGTACCACGCCACTTTATACCGAAAAACTCGGAAACTTGCGAAATGTCGAAAATGTATTTGAGACAATGAGTACAAGGTACTCAGAAATTTAATTAAAATAAAGTATCAAATACTCTCGATCAAAATTATTCACTAGATACCAAGATACTTCAAAAAGTATTTCAAATACAGTATTTTGCGCAGAGTATTTGAGATAGCCACAACTCTGCTAGTGGGTGATGCCGAAAAATAAGGAGCGCTTATGACCTTGCCATCCAAGAGGTATATTGGCATTGGCTGCGCCAACAGAATCACGTGGAATATGATAACAAAGGTAAGAGTGTATCAGGAGTCACGCTGCTCGGTATCAGACCATTATCGTATCCTTAGGGGGGTAGCCTATATTTCGTTTGACTCCACGTCCGACTGCAGCCAAAGGGCACCGTCACGGCTATCGTTGTCTTTGCGTGTTTGATGTTCCTGGCTAAATCAACCAGGCACATTGAATGCCCAATGATCCTGCGCGTTTTTCTATGCTTGAATAATTTAGCCAGATGTCGCAAACACGTATAAAGGTTGAGCGCTGTGACGAAGCACTTTTGGGGGCGCTTGATTGGCGTTCATTGAATGTCGGCGTCAAACGGGGTCGCACTCGGCGTGAGATGGAGTACAAGCAACCCTTGTCATTGCCTAAGTGGTGTCGGCGACGTTTGGCAGACGTCGGCCGTTCTCTAAATGTGATATTACAAAACGGATACTCTTATTTATTGGTTTTCGGAAGATGCGTGACAGTGCCCAGATCGTACCCAAAATAAAGTAAGCGTGAATGAGTGGCGACATTTTCTTTTTTCTTTTTAATTCGACAGAGACCTGGAAAGCTGGGTCTCTGTTTATTGGCCTGGTTCGGAATCCACTGAATTCTACTAAAAAATAAGTGCATAGACAATGCAATTCGTCTGTCAACGTCTTAACATTACATCAGGTGAAAGAAGCGTCAAATAAGCGTGACTTTCTTTAAAATCGCGATGTTCATATCTTTCAAGCTCTAACTTTGTTCTTTAAGAACCGAAAAGTATGCATATAAAAAGTATTTTTATTTAATAACTACCTAGTCTCGCTATTTGAAAATTCCACAAAAAATTCTCGGCTTTATTTAAAATGCACCATGCCAGCCGTCCTTCTTGCACTCTAGCTTCACCAGAAAAAAAACGTGGACATCGAAATGCTGCTCGTGTTATTCCACCATAGACGTTTGAAAGTGCCGCCTCTAAATGTCACTATCTGGCTGCTGGCGTGCGAAAATCGTCTCATAGTCGAGCCTTGCAAAGGCGTACCCACGGTTGCCACACTGACACCCGAACAAAGCATGTGCAATCCAGAGGCCAAGGTAACATTCAATGCGTGGCTGCTTTCAAACATTATTTAAATATCATGTAGGAGTGTCCCAGATAAACACTACCACGTACCAGATACCCCACCAAATCGCTCCGCAAACCAGCCAAAAAAAAAAGAAAAGGAGTACTTAGCCATGACAAGTGACGTGACATCAGCGGTCTGATGTCTCACCGCTTGGGTGGCGCTGTTGTCGGTACGCCGCATGAGCGCACCTTTAATTTTACAAGAACCCGGTTTGTGGACACGCCTAGTGTCCACACATGGCGCAGGCAAACGCTGGCCAGTTTGTAAACACCCTGTTGGTCTATATGCGCATCGCGGAGGAACAGTGGCTGGAGGTAAGGAGACCACGTTTCTGGAATATTTTTAACTTGTATCTGACTTTGCATGGCTTGCACTGACGTCACTTGGTCAGGCATATTGGCGCAAAAGGCGCGTGAGAGATAGAAGGGCGGTCTGGCGTCACGTGCGAGCCATATACGTATAGCAAGGTTATTATCTTTTCGTTCGCCTTGTGTAGACCATGACCTCCTGACATCACATGTGCCTTGCATAACTGGGAATGGTCGGCCCCTTTTAAAGCGCAGCTTTCAGGCGCCCGTTTCCGGGTTGAGCGGCGTCACCGTCGCCGTCGGCGTAACCGCCTGGCGTCACACGTGACGTCACGTGGGTCACGAGGCTCGCGAGTGACCTCACGAGGGCCATGATGCTTACGAGTGACGTCACAAGAGTCACGAGTGACATCACGAGGGTCACGAGTGAAGTCACACGTTATGTCACACGGGCACCCTCCCCTCCCTCCTCCTCCTCGAGAGCTGTTTTCTAATTCGGCCTTACAGGAAATTGTACCCGTCTTTCATTTTGTTTTTTAAATCGCAGGTTCTACAACGGCGACGCGCCAATGGTAGCCGTCAAAGACTTGGATTTGCTCCGAAGGGTGTTTGTCAGCGACTTCAAGAACTTCTACGACCGAGGGGTGCGTGCGCCGGTGCTCATCTATGGCATTGCAACGGCTACTCTTTAGAATGAAACACACGTGCGAAAAACGAACCGAAAATTACACACTTTTTTAAACACCATATAATAGCTTCATGACATTACAAAAAGAAAATCAAGCCGCGCTTCGGCGCTTAATTTGAAGAAATTACAAATATGCACTTAAAAATATTGCAATTTAGATTTAAATTCAATGAATAAATTTGTTGTTTCCTTTGAGAGCGTGAAACGATTTATCGTATTTGGATATTGCGCGGTGACCGGTTGGTTCTCCACAAATATGTTTCTTCATTTAATCCTGTTTTACAGGGTGCAGTTCTGATTGTGATGTATTTATTTGCGATGCCATTCATGCTGCGGCAAATATTTTATGAGTACAGCACGTACTTTAGCAGGTGCCTAGAAACTGTTTCTTTTCCACAGGAGCGGTGTCGCAACTAAATATCGCTAGCAAGCTTCTCACCATGCGAAACGAGATTTAGTTTTGGGAGGCGCTATATACTCACAGACACTGCGTTAGAGGTACTTTTTGGTGCTACTCGTTTGCAAAACTTGTAGCACTTAGGCATGAGTCCCGTCTCGCCTGTCTTGATATGGATACTCCTTGTGCGAGGGTCTGATCCTCTAATCACTACTTTGTGATCACGATAAAGACTTAAGGTTAGGTCTTTATCATTCACTGGCTAATTTTTTTGTCTAGGGCGGAGACACCACACGCCATTTCAAGGCAAACTAACTTTACCCAGATGCCTAAACTTTGATACAATAAATTTATCTTTGCGTAACAAGCTGTAATAAAACTAACCATAGGACCACTTTTTGAGACTGTTTAACATGGTGGTTTGTAGCTGACTATTCAGTACATTACAAGCGTGGTACCCTGAAGCTGATTTCAACATTACTTCAGTCATGCCACGAATTATCGCCCGGCTATTTTTAGTTTCAGAGTGCGAAATTCTGTCTAATCATTTTAGAAACATGATGTACCCCATGTATTCCTAGAAAAACGTGACGCACTCCTCGTTTTGCTTTAGACATGCAACATCCTACATGTTTTAATCCAGTCACAAGCTCCCACTTGTTTTGTTTTAGACACATGACACCCAAGAGGCTTCGCCTGGAACATCTGAGTTCAAATACCTTTAAGACGACACAACTTATTTTACCTTAATGGCACGACTACTGACAAATGTAATCTTTCTAAACTCAGGGTTTCCAGCTTGCCTCTCCAAAGAGTCGATTCGAATCCCGTCTTAAGTTTCTAAGAGAAAGAACTTCATCGCGTTCAGAAGGCAGCGTAGCTAATATTTTAGTTGCATATCACAAAATCACAAGTTGATGCGAATTATTTTTAAGACCCACACTGAGGTGTGCCAAGTGTCCCCAATAACCTTGTGCTCAAACTCCAAAAATTACGTCAGTTCTGTAACCTTCAACAGGAAACAGTCTACTTGCCTTGTTGCAAAGATATCAATTTGTTTCTCATACCTTGACTAATTAATAAATTGTGGGCATTGAATTGACGTCATGTGGTAGAACTGACTAAATGTTCATGTGACTCGTGCAGCCGGAGGAGCACACTCAACTCTGTTTCGGTTCACTCCTCCACGTTTTCTGTGTTAAAAACAAAATTCTACGATATAGGTCTGCACATCACAAACTAACGATTTCATTATAAATAATCGCGTTTGGGCAAACTGCCCTCCAATGTAAGCCAAGTGCATGCTTTATAACAGGTCTTAGTCACAGGCGTTGCCTGAAGGCTTCAATTAAATGAGCAGCAGATCGATAGCGAAGTTGAAATTAAGATGCTTGAGACCTTCGAGCCGAATCAATGACAGGCGCTTGGCTAATAGAACGAATAGAAGTCAGCCTATGAATGACGTCATTATTAGTGGATGCCCGACTACTGACCTCTATTGTAGTAGTTTGGATCGCGGATCGAACTTTGCCTCGCTGGTGTCGAGTGGCACCACCGACGGCCATCGCTGGACACCAGCTAATGCAAGGGACTCCATGAGAAAAACGAGAAAAAAAGGGCCGTTTTTCCCATTTCTAAGCTCTTGTCGGAACTGAAACGTTTTGGCCGCTTTTCAGGAAGCCCGTCAAATAGCGTGTGCTAAAACATTACAACTGACAACCCCACAGTTCTTATAAGTAAATGTTTTGTGGTTGAGAGTAACTCCGCTGCGCGAAACATGTTCTGCATCTCAATGACACAAAAGTTACCTAGAGTTACTGCGGAGTCCGTGCAGTTTCGATGAGTTGTGTTTAGCAGACGACAATCTTGAAGACTTTGCTATGCGCAAATCGCTCACACCCGGAAAACCGCTGTCAAGATGATTTTTTACGGCATTGATCAACTTCTGGGCTCCCCCGAAGATGGTCTTATTGACGGCAAGTTCCTTTGTTTACTCCACTACGAGAGCAAGCTTGCCAGCTCAGCCGTAGCTGCTCCGGTACGCTTGATATGTTTAGTCGGCGTTCGAACGTTTGACAAACACCGATTCGATCTCCAAACACCCAACATAAGTATAGCAGTACATCAGAAAATGCTGGCTTTCGAGCACAGCGTACAAGCTTGGATGTTCGTACTTTTGTGTGTTTTTCCCATGAAGTTCACTGTATTGCCTGGTGTTAAGTAATGACCAACGGTGTTGCCACCGACGGGTTCCCATCCGCGATATAGCCGACTAAAATAGAGATAATAATAATACTATTTATTTTCGATCAAGTACAAGTACATGATAAAAGGAGACTGATCAAGAAAGCTGCATTTGTGCAGCTTGACGAGTGTCGAGCCCTTTCCCCAATTGGCAACAGCAGCAGGTCCCAAAAGAAATGTAAAAATTCATAAACAAAGAACGAAATAAAATACACAGGTCATTAGCTCAATGTATAACATTTGAATGCGATACATATCTTATCTCAGCTAAAGAGACGGTTTAGCATAAAAGCAACAAGTGCACATTCACAGGCTTAGGTATATAGCCGACTCTCTAATAGTATCCTCATTTACTAAATTCATTCTCAGCAGATATAACTGCAATTTATAAATGAGGACATTGAGTGGAATATTGATTTAGTTATGGCAATGCAAATTCCCTCAGCAAGAAAACATCTCTGATATCATTTACAGTTGATGTCAAAGGATGAATATTTTGAGTATTAAGGTAATTAGGTAGGGTCGGAAACACATTGGATAGAACTTGTTCACCATCATTTGTTCTGAAACTGGGGACTTTCCAGTTGTCTAGGCTACGAGTGGGATATGTTATCGATTTCAGCGATAAGACGGCTATTTCACTTAAAGTGCTAACATTTTTTTTATTATTTCCGAACTATAAATTATAACTTACACATAACTAATATTTATAGATTTAGTAAACATGTATTAAATTTCAGTTTGTGAACGGAGACCTAGTAGGGTAATTATATGGAACATTTAATATTATTCGCATTATCTTATTTGTAGCATAAGAATCTTGTCTAAATTCGCCTTTGTAGAATTTCGCCGGACGAGGTGACAGCAATGTATGTCTGAAAAAATAACGAGTTATAGATTAACAATTTAGAGTTTTGGGGGAAAAAAAGAGCGGTGGCAATCACACCCGTCAGCTTTATTAAGATATGGTTCAGATTTTCATCCCAATTCATTTGATGCGTGAATACAACTCCAAGGATCCTAAAACTGGTCAAAGTTCTCTTTGGAGATATCTCTGATAATGATATCTCTCGTAACAGTTGCATTTTTTATTTTTGGGTGGAAACAATACAGCCGCAGTCTCGCTCACGCAGATTGTTCAGGCGTTAGCGTGGCTCCAGCTACTAAACTTCCGCAGAGTTTGATTCGCCCTATGTGCTAGGTCATGAAAACAGCCTACTACAATAGACATCAGTGAACCTGACCCGCCGGCAGAAACACGACTCATGGATTCCCCCGAAGTGAAACCATTAGCGAGAACGTTTGAGGAGGAAAAGCGCAATCCTTTCCTCCCTATGTGTGTTTTCAGTGGCTCCGCGCACCCCTGCCTATCTCGGGTCCGCGTCACCCCCCCCCCCCCCCCCCCCCCGCGCCTTGCAGCGCCCTAGAACGAGGCCTACTCTGGCATTGGGCAACGCCAAGGTGCATATACGTCTGCCGCTTTGCCGCGTACTCTCGGAAAAGCTTCAGCGTCTAGGTGACATTGATCTGGCACGCCCGAGTCAAAGGACTGTCGATTTATGCGAACCGTCTTCAATACGCACCTAAACCCTCGGTACACGGCGTGAAAGTGTTTTCGGCGCATTCCTAGCACCCCTTTCCACCTTTAAACGATCATGCCGATATCGCAGGCAGTGCCACCAAGACGACGCGCTGTCCACACTGCGTCATGATCGAGGGGATTCTTCCCATCCCGCCCTAAGTGACAAGCAGGCCGAAGCTCGGAAAAAAGGCTTGGAACGCGTCTCTTCTGTCTACCGCTTTCTAAAACAACAACAAAAAAATATCCTGAGCCATTCTATACTGTGAAGGTGGATGGCCAGCGCAGCTGTTTAGCACACGACACAGACGTGACACAGAATTTTGAATAAAGGTACGAAAACATCTATTGTCTTCATCGATGGTCATCGTGACGAAAGGTACGCACACAGATTTCTAGGACTATCGCCGCCCCGAGGAGCCGGAGTAAACTAGACACGCGCGACGGGGCCGCCACCCGGCGTAGGGAAAGGAAACTAGGCATGCAAGCGGCTTGGAACGACGACAAAGAAAGGACAATGCAAGCCCTTTCTGAGTTTTTTTGTTGACGCTCACGAAAAATCCACGGAGCCCTAGCCACGAACGGCTTCGCTGTAAAAAAGTGTCCCTCGATTGTTATCTATTGACGTCATAGCAGAGTCACATTCTCACCGGCAATAATCCTGTTGGTGTCAAAGTAACGAAGGTGGACGTGGTAGACGCTATATTCTGCCGTAGGTCGCTCTCCGGCT